CTGCTGATCTTCGATTTTGTGACTACATTCTTAAAAATATAGAAGAGAACAAGAAGTCGACTGCAGGTAAGTCTTTTTGGAGATTTTTACAGCTTAAAAACTTTTTCTTTTTAGTTTTCGAAGGAAACGATGAATGGCTGCGCCTACGAATGCGCGAATATCTTCTAGCGATGGGAGCCAGCTCGCGATCTGACCTGGCTGTTGCCGTAGCTGATTATGGTGCCCCCTTTATTCATAGCTGGCGATTCACCAGGTTTCGTTGATTTTAAATTCAACAAGTCGAAACCATGTACTTCTCGAAACATGTTGTGATTCAGGAATTACCGTGTTTGGATGTTGGGTCAGCACGATGATCTCGTTGGAGTCGCTCCTGGGTAGGATTTTACCAAGATTATTATATGGGTATGGTCTAGTAATTAACGTTTTTAACATTGCAGACATGCTTTTGCTGGACAGCTGGGTGTATATGATGTCTTGCTAAGGGTTGAACACACCGTCAGTGGGTCAGGGGGAGCGAGGAGAGCTATTGATGCACTTACTTCTACTGGGAAGAATATTGGTGAGATATTCAACGAATTAAGATTACTGGTTCTCTTTGTCCTTTTTCAAGGCCGCCATCCTCTCACCCTTTCTTTCTGTTCTGAAGATTCAACTATTGTTGTCAGTTAAGGTTCTTTTTAATACTACGAAAACTAAAAATTCCTTACTTCTTGATCTATCCCTCGCTCACTTTTACTTCATTTCATAGCCACTTGTTTTCAATCATTACAATATCTGCCAATATCCTGATTGCAACTCGAGTAATTTTCATCTCAAGATATTAGCAATTCGTGCCTTATGCAATCGTTTAAGGTGAGACGGGAAATAAAGTGCGGCAGAGTTTCACAACATGGTTCAGAGGTGGTGTTCAAAATGCCGAGGAAGCAACGGAGTCCATAGAACCGTCTCCAGTAAGTTCCTTGTGCTATTAGAAAAGTTTAGCTGAGTTAGTTGATTTTTAGTGTTTTACAGTCGAGATCGCACGGAGCTTGTTTTTCTGTTTTTATAAATAGCTTTCGCCATCAAAAAGAAGGGGTGCTTAGCAAGGGTGAAGTACCGTGTCGATGGTGCTGAGCTCCATAAAGTTGCCGGTGGTGCGTGCGACAGCAAGCGTTAAGCGGCGCTTAGACTCAACGCGCCATACTGCGCAGTGACGCGCATGCTGCGCTGCAATTACAACAGTGCCCAAAGGACTATAAACGCGAACCCAGCCGCAGGCGGCCGGCGCCGTTCGATTCCCGTTTGTGAGAGCTCGATCGATGGGCGCCGGCTTGAGTCTCGAGGGAGTGTGGGGAAAGAGGATGGTTGGTGAGATCCGAGACACAAGCGACCGTCGCCCATCGATCTGTCCTTCGCGAATGGGAAACGAACGGCGAAGGCGGTCTGTGGCTGCTTCGCCTTAAGCCCTGAAGCACATTTAATTGCAGCGCAGTAGCGCGCTTTAGGCTGCGTTTATACTTTGCGGCAGCGTAGCGTAGCGCTTCCAGCGTACGCCAGCGGCAGTGCCGGGGAGAGGATGCATATCGATCTAGCGTTCCCAGCGTCACCAGCGTCACGCTAGCGTACGCCAGCGTTTCTCCAGCGTTTCACCAGCGTTTTGCTAGCGTTTGCAGCGGCAGGGGAGTAGAGACTATGGGAGAGCTGGAGGGTAAACACATCGATTGCGCGTCTCTCACTCGCCCTTAGTCTCTACAATGCACATCGCTTCTGCGTCTCCGACGGCCACATAGTCTCTACAATACACGTCGATTCCGCGTCTCTCACGGCCACATAGTCTCTACTCCCTGCCGCTGCAAGCGCTAGCAAAACGCTGGTGCCGCTGGAGAAACGCTCGAATACGTCACAACGCCTAGGCACGCGGTGTGGCGTAGCGGTACGATGGGAGCTGGTGAAGCTAGATGATATCTATCCTTTCCGACGTGGCCGCTGGCGTTACGCTTGGAGAGGCTACGCTACCTTGCCGCCAAAGTATAACGGCAGTCCTTGAAAGCACATAAACGCGCTTTGCTGCGCAGTAACGTGCGTTGCTCCGTGCGCTGCCTCTGAACGCTGCCTTAATCAAACTGGTCAGATCGCTTCCTAAAGCACTTGTCCATTGCGGGATTCCTCGTTTGCACGCTTGCGTAAAAGTGAATAGTGCAGATTTTAGGCATTTTCGAGATATTGTTTTTTTCTTTTATATTGTTACAACAGTGACTTCCACAGCTCTGCTTTTCTGTGAACAGTATCACATGTTCTTGTTAACCCTCAGGTAACTGCGCATGTTCCCTTGTCTGGCACGTGGGACCAAACGTTGTTTTCGTGGCATGCGTGTGTCGGATGATATCATCGCGTAAGGACGTTCACTTTCATTGTGTTGTTGGAGATCGAGCAAATACCTAGAAATGTTCTTTGAAAATAAGAAAACCTGTACTCAACTGGATTGTTGATGTAGTTCGGAGAGCACCGCTGTCCAAGTAGAACTGATCACGCGCCAGCCCTGATATTGTAGCGGCAGGGACGCGTCGCCGCTTACTCTTATCGTGAAAAAAGAGACACTAATTTCGATCTAAATTTCTAAAAAAACGAAAAACCGAAAGAAAGAAATCACATTACGAAGAATTTATAATAGATTTCTTGAATTAATATACTGTATTGTCGATGAGTTAGACGAAGGCGCTTCCTCGGGACAGAATCACAAGAGGGGCACGTCTTCTTGGATCAACGGCTCAGAGCGGGAACAAATAGCTAGCAAGGTGGGTAGTTCCATTCACATGATAAAGGGCGTTGTTGTGTAGTCTGTCATGCTAAGGGAGTTTTGTAAAGCCCTAAAAACTAATGTACTTAATGATACTGGTCACCTGTTGAATACCGGCCCTGCACAGCGCTGTAGATTGCAATTGGGGCATTACGCCAGAGTAATACATGACAGGCCAGAAAGCAAACAGCGCATTGGACATTGACACTTTTCCCTGATTAGCTTACTGGATACGTTGAGAATTCGCTGTAGCGATGTCAATTGGGTTTCTTGTATCGGCCAATTTTAGTATTTTGGAAAGGAAGTAGTTCAAGACGCGAGATCCTGGATCGTTCCTCTCCCCCATGCTAAGCTAGCCAAGTCCTCTACCTGCTGGGACGGTACATTAGTACGAGGTTCTTCTGAGAACATATGAGCGGTGACATATAATCGGCTCGCCCCGCAGCTCGTGTGTATAGCCATAGCAAAAAGATTATTGAAAATAAGGAATGAAAAAGGAATTAGTTCACCTGCTTTGGAGCTGCTCTCCCGACCTTTACGCGAATCCTCCTCCGCGCAGAAACTGGAACCATTTCGTAACTTACCTCATGAAGTTGTCACGTATTTCGAAGGAACTAAGTAAATGCCTTCACTCCTAAGCGAACTCTTGCCAAAAGGCTACTCTTTAGTTCAGATAAAGGCGCTTATCCACGTACAGATTTAACAGATTTTTTTGAGGTGAGGAGTATATCATCATGGATACGAGGTAACCAACGAGGTGAAGAGGCGGGTTCCACTAGTCAGTCCCCATCAGAAGAATCTATCTCGTAATCTCAAATCTCCAATGTATCAGTAGCTTCCTTGTAGCTAACTACTTCTTTACTTCATACTTGTTTTGAATAGTTTGTCCATCTCTGATCTCATTCCCGTCGATTGTTTGAAACATTCACAGATTTGGATAATTTCTATACTTTCACAGATTTCTATGCTTTGTATTCGAGATTGTAAACTATCATATTACGTGCCAATACTTACTGAGCAAATCTGAGATAGACATTTCCCACCGATGAAGCAACTATCTGCATGTGCATTTCGATGTGTCCACGATAAGCATTTTTTGCGCAGTGATAAAATATTGACTATCTGGAATCTCTGTTCAGGAACTTGTTTACAAAAATAAATTATTTTATTCCTTAAGGCATATCACATAACTAATACACGCTAGGGCAGCTTATCCTTTCAATGTTGAATGTCTAGTTGAGAAAATTTCGTAGCAACCCTTCACAAATTAAAAAAAAATGAAACAAGCAAGTCATGAGTACATAAAAAGCTGGTAACGTATGAAATGAGGTATCATACAAAGGCGTTACATGAATTAAAACGTAGCACTTACAATGGAAGGTTGTGACTGGCATTCACCGGTGGCCATAGGTTACATAAAACTTCTACTAACAATCTTCTAATCTACATCTACATTCCGGAATATTTAGGCCCTTCTCCTCCCTCAGGTGTTACCCAATTAATGTTTTGAGTAACATCCTTAATGTCGCAGGTTTTGCAGTGAATACAATTGGCAGCGTTGATTTGTAAGCGCATTTCCGACGGATTGTTATCTTTAGGTACATATTCATAGACACCTAAAAGAAATTTGTTGGAAAAACTAACACGCTTGACGACTCTAGTAGACAAGGCGACTAACCAGCAGGGCAGAATCGTTGTTCAGGGCCATCATACAGTTTGAGGTTGATTTTCTCTGGAACTTCATCATCTTTGAGTGTTAGATGAGACGGTTGGTTTTCCTCGTGAATAGTTCCAGTAAGTGCCACAGACGACAGTAAATCGAATGTAAGTTTATTGTCAGGCTTCGGATATTCTATTGGCTGAAAAGTTACCAAGAATATACTAATTATTCAAGAAAAAAACTGCCTCATTTGAGATGTTGCGTACCTTGCACTCCTCTTTCTTCTTTAGCTTTTCATTATCCTTCTTGCCATGCTTAAGGGTCCAAGGTTCTATACCACGTCCCAACACGTAGAACATTCCAGAGTATGACAAACCGCCCAACCACCCTGAAAATTCAGTTCAAATGGGAGGCTTTAACTGAAGAATTTACGAAAGCTACCAAGTCTTGTGTTGAAAGAGGGCCGAATGTTGCGAGTTGCTTTCAAACCCTTGAGTACGTAACTGTCTTCAAGCGCTTTGGTGTATGAAGTAGGAGTAATACCTGAAAATTGATAGAGAGTGTAAGCAGTGTGAGCCCTGTATGTTTGCTTTCCAAATAGTCAGTACTACTTTCAGTTCAGTGGCTTCTCATTTATTTCATGTGAAACTCAGCCTTCAGTTTTGGAAGAGTGTAGAAAAGACCGCAGGTCGGCTCGTCCACGACAACCAAGTTTCTATCCTCTAGGGAAATTAAACTGGAACCGGATTAGTCTGGGAGGACAAGAACACTGCCCTCTACCCACAATCCTACTATATATAATCCGCTAAGTTTGTCTGTTGGTGTGTGTGTGTGTGTGTGTGTGTGTGTGTGTGTGTGTGTGTGTGTGTGTGTGTGTGTGTGTGTGTGTGTGTGTGTTTGACCGGAAATTCATAAGTGAATTTCCGGTCATAAGTGATGTAGAGGGTCGGGCAGGAACACTACTGGTGGGTGGCAGGAGGTGATAGCAATTGATAAGGTACCATAACGGGCCGTAGAAGGGAGGGTCACCAAATTCATAACGCGTCACAGCAACGATAGTACGTTGGTTTCAAGAACTAAGATAAGGGGGCGATGGGAACATTATTGATGGGTGGCAGGACGTGATAACAGCTGATAAGATACCATAAGGAGCCTTAGAAGGGGATGGTCACCAACATACTAACGCGCATCACAGACGGGAGAACGTCGTTTCCAAGCAGTAAGATAGAGGGCAGGATGGGAACATTATTGGTGGGTGACAGGACGTGATAACAGCCGATAAGATATTAGGTTGTTGCATAAGTTCGTATACACGTGTTTCGATCATTTCCTATTTCGTTCGCATGGATGTTGGTATTACGTCATCACGTGTGCGTGTACATTATACTCTTTCATTACACTAGCTATCACTCACCGAGCTTGCATTTGCAGTACACAATGTCGCACAATTTGCACTGTGACAAAACGTACCTGCGCCACTGTTTGGTTTTGCTCCACGATTTCGGCTGGAATGCAAAGGAAGCCCATACCAAGCTGGTGGATACATACGGTGAGGACGTCATCTCTTACATGACATGCAAGAATTGGTTCGCCAAATTCAAGAAAGGAGACTTTCTCTCGAAGATGCTCCGAGGTCGGGTCGGCCGATGGAGTTGGATTTGGAAGTACTACGTTGAGGACCCGTACCTCACCACCAGAGAAATGGCGACCATGCTTAGCTATGATCATTCGACGGTTGCACGTGGACTAGAAAAGCTCGGCAAGGTAGCAAAGCTTGGTCGATGGGTCCCACATGAACTGTCCGCTTATGACCTCTCGAGGAGGGTGACCACCTGCACTTCTCTCCTCACTTTCCAAAAGAGGCTTCACTTTCTCAACTCGATGATCACTGGAGATGAGAAGTGGGTCCTCTACGATAACCCTGTGAGGAAGCGGCAGTGGGTCGACAAAGGAGAACAGCCAGAAGCCACCCCAAAGGCCGACCTTCACCCCAAAAAGGTTTCCTGTCCTGTTGGTGGTCCAGAAGAGGCATGGAGTACTGGGAGCTGCTGGAGAAGGGACAGACGATTGACGCTTCCACATACGTGACCCAGCTGCGGAAATTGAAAGATCACGTCGACCGTACTCGTGGAAGGAATGCGGAAATCTACTTCCACCATGACAACGCCCGACCTCACACTGCAAAGGCGACCCAGGCCGAGCTGGAGAAGTACGGATGGCTGATGGTCGCCCACCCTCCCTACAGCCCTGACCTCGCTCCTTCTGACTACTGGCTGTTCAGCCACCTGCAGCGCTATCTGGAAAAAAGTTCGAAACAAAGGATCAGGTCAGAAAGGCGCTCGACGACTTCTTCAAGTCCCAGCCTCCGTCGTTCTGGAAGGATGGAATCGACAAGCTGCCTGAGCGCTGGCGTCGAGTAGTGAATGGTGATGGTGCATACCTCTAATCTCCAGGCTGGTTCTTTTGAGATATTTACAAAAAAGTCGTGTATAAGAACTTATGCAACAACCTAATACAATAGGAGGATTCTTCAGAAAGGATGCCCCTAAAATTCAAGTCGTAACAACAGTGGAGAACGGTTCCCAACAAGGGTAGTATATGTTTGCATCTTCACTCTGCTTGCAACTAAACTGAACTAAGAATTATTGGGCGAAGGCTTAGTCGGATGCCGAGATGTTTTGTCCTGTGGCAATACATTCGGGATTGATTAGACGCTGAACTCTCGAGTTCCTTCGACAAAAAGTAAAGCTAAAGTGTTTGCACACTGAGAGGAATGATAAGATCCATCAGCAGACGGATATGAAAGCCGCTCACCGGAAGTACTAGGGTGAAGGACAATTAAATATGATTTCAATATTGTTACCATCGAAAATCTTTCAACGCTAAGCGTCTTTTTCCAACGGAATGGTGAGTGTTTGAAGCAGCAAGATAAGCACCAGATTGGCCAATGTTCATGAAAGAGGAGAAGTAAGATGAAATAGGCTGTACTTGAGAAAATGGGAATTAGGCCAAGTGTTAGGGATCAGCACAGGATGTCAGACAGTGCCATTTTACTTCCACTGAGGCGCGTTCGGAGTCACCACGAGTTTTGACGCTTTGATGCATTGGAGATATGCCGACAAATCTTAGCGTACTCCTCATTAGTGCGTTCAATATAGCCTCGTGCGAGTTCCTGCATGGATATTTGGGTAAAGAGCATTCTAAAAGGAGATTGTTCCACGGAGAGTAGAACGTTTTTATCATTGGAATGATCCATGGAGGAGAGTACAGGCGCTAATCGTTGATAGCGATCACTCATGAATAGGACCTATTCAAAAGGAGTAGACCTATTCAGTACAAAAGCATGAACTCATTCGGGCACCGGTCTACTCTTTCGATATTTGTTCACGTTTCAGAGCGAGAACATATGCGTTTTTACTAACAGTCGTTTTTCTCTGCAGACGCTGGGGCGTGTGAGGCGAGTTGGACGCGTCAACAGGCCGTTCTACAGCAACTGTTGAAGGCAGGCGAGAAGAACTGTGGAAAGTGGTTGACACCACCTAATCCAGCTTCCCCCCCCCCACTAACATACCAGGGCGTCTACAGCGAAAACGATTATAATTTACGGGTCCAGGAGCAATGAAGGCTTCGACGCACCAACTAGGAGACGATCCTACATTCCATATAACCAACGCGGGGTAAGTGGTGCCACCTGCCCCCACACTTGCTGACATGATACAAGAAACGCGGCGGGGTTGAGAAAGCAATACAAAGATTCAAGTGAAGATCTTCACAGATCACTCACAGGTAGTTTCTTCGTTGATTTCCGGGAAGATGGACTCGGCGGCCAGCATTCCACTTTTCATGGCATTATGCACTCCTTTTAACTTTGCAACGTTCAACGTACTTGCTGTACAACCAACCAGGCAACCACCTAAAAAATACAGGGATTTCCATTCAAAAAGCGTAGTTCGGTCGCTCTCCGGTAGAGCCCCTTGGTGAAAATTTTGAAAGAACACTGGGCTGAGAAACATTTCAGCTCAGTGCTTTTTTTCTAGCTCAGAAAAAAAACTAAGAACTTACCAGGGAATACTACTTTCGGTACAGTCTGATATCCTCCCTCGTTAAGAGCACGTGCACCATATCCCAGCCGTTTGCCGCCCTCGAATTGCCCCCGAATTGATGGATGAGTCTTCCATCTTTGAAATTCCTAATATAATTTCCTGAGGAGAGTTCTTCAGAACATTATGAATATTGAAAAAATGGATCATTTATAGTCAACTAGTGATAAAAAACTCACTTGGAATGGGTTTATATACGTGTTACGGTAGTCCAAAGCCACCACGAAGCCAACTTGCGCTAGCGGTAGTCCTTCGTCAAAGATATGGTATATGAATGACCCGCCGTACTGGTCCATCGCCTATGAAAACAAGTCAAGTTCACTTACAAATTCATAAATGGAGTCCAGATACCTCCTGCAATCACTTTTCAAGTGCAAGTTATTTTCACGAAAAAAAGCTTCGAGATCATTTTACGTCCCACGAAATAAGATTGGGCTCACCAGAGGCCACCCCATGGTGTGCTCAATATAGCCTGGCTTGTGCTTTGACGGGTCTAACTGCCACAGCTCTTTGAGTCCAATACCAAAAGACATGGGATGATTAGCCAGCTTGAACTTCTCCAGAATCTAAAAGAAATAAAGGAGACTTCTCATGAAATGATAAATGAAGCAGATCCGAAAAAAAAGATGAAGAAATGTTCTGCGTATAGTACACGCAAAGTTCGCTTAAATCTCAGAAGTCAAAAATGATCTTATAGGTGCTGAATATTTTTGCTGGAACCATACGCTTCAATCAATATAACTTTTTCTGGGATATGGGCATCTTTGTTTCAAACGCCCTGTTTTTATGGCTCTCCTTTCGCTTACCATTTGTTTGTTTTCATAGAAGTGAATGATTTGTATTGGATAAGGAACTTTTCGCGCGCGTTGTCGTGCGCGTCACTGCGAATAATGAGTGCGCCTTATATCTTAGAAAGTAGGGTAGTTAGTTCAATTTATAGTTCAATAATATACTGGACAAATTAGCTGTTCACGGGATTGGCTTCAGTGAAGCCAGCCTGCCTTT